TTAAATGTTTGTGAGCTCTAGGATTAATCTGAATGGGATATTCGGGTGTTTTCTATCGATGGGATGACGAGGATTACAAATCAACCATGACTGAGATTTGAGTCAGGTGTGTTTTTATTTAAAGAGCGCTCGTTATGACACGTTTGACGATGCGACTCAAGAATAAAGGAGATTTCTGAAGACCTCAGAAAGCAGTTGTTAATACTCGTGATGGTGGAAAAGATTAGAGAACCATCTCTAAAGAGTTACGGCACACAACAAAATTGTTGCCCTTCTTTTAAGAACAGTAGGGTAATAAATAAGAGTAAGGTGTGAGACAGGGAACAGCTTTTCTAACCTTTGCTAGTGTTAATCCTCCTGAATCCACTATGGAGGGATTCAGCATGAGAACTCGATCCCAACTGTAAACACTGTGGGGATGGGAACATTATGGATTGGGCCTGTTTAGCCGCATCTGGGCCAGGACAGCTCATCATCATTGATGGAGCAATCGATTCTGAAAATTATCAGCAGATTCTAAGGAGAAACGTCAGGACGTGCGACACGCACACTGATAGCATCTTGGGATGACGAAGCCAAAGTCCTGACTCAGGCCAACAGAAATGCTGAGGGACCTGAGGCACGTAGCTCATCCAACAGTTTAATGCATTCTGCATGAAAGAATAAATTCCTTCAAGAGGGTGTGCAGGACAGATGGACGGTAATCATCTGCTGTTGTAACAAATGCTTCTCATCTATCTCTCAGGACATCTGTGGAATACGATATTTTAGCACATATTAAAAAAAGTTCACAACCTTCTCCCTCAAACTGTAATCCACACAATTGTTGGCGGTTACTGGTTTCTATGCAGATCATCACTGAACATTCATTCACTGCAATATCATAAACCACCTCCAATCACTTACCCCTCGATCTCCATTGTACTTCTCCACAAACTTGCCATAGTTGTAGTAGTTGAATGTCGGGTAGCCCTCCACCCCTTCCTGCTTGCAAAGCTCGTGGTTCTGTCCTTTAGTGCAGTCCACAGCTGCGTACACGATCTGAAACAGGCAATTGCGCATTCACTTTCAGTGCGCACAATAAAACATGCTTTAAATTCACAAGATTTTAAAGGCGCTTGGCACCCTGCCGTATCAGATGAGGCGCTTGGGACTGCGCTTTAATTAGACGAGTGTGTAAATAAACTGAAAATATTTTTTTTTTGTCGTAAAAAGTTTCCTCCAACTAACAGACCCATTTCACAGCACCCATTCTGACATAAAATAGCAAGGAAACACCGACGTGACTAATCGCATTAACTGAGGCTCCGTGCTTATATACAACGGAGGCATCATTAATTTGATTTGTAACACCTGATTCTTCTTTCTATTTTCTGTCAAACAGCTGCTGTGTAATAAGCTTGTTAAATAAACTTCCTACCGAGACATAATTAGTACATAAGAATACATAAACTTCTCAGAAAATCTCCTTTTGAGCTACATTCGAGGAAACTTTACTGTAATATGAATTTCAAAAACTTTAATATCTTATCATTATCTTTAATAGTTAATAGGTTTAACGCAGACATTCATTAAACAGACAAGGTAGCTTATGTGTTACTTCTATTATTCCTGGTGCATTCTTCCCATTTATTGTTATTTTATTATCGCTATGACAATTATTTGAATTCGCACGATGCATTTCCATTTTATGGCCAGTTAGCTTTTGTTTCAGTGGATCTTAAGAACTCGGTATATTTTCAGATGAAACAAACTTCATCACAAGTCTGTACATTGCTACTATTAAAAAGTATGTAGGTGAAGAATATTACAGGAATGCAAATGAAGACACAGCTACAGCACTACTGTGCCAACTCATTTCTTTGTATTTGCTAGCAAATAAGGAAACAGGTGAAGCAATTTATATTTTGCTGATTTAACATAAACAGATTGAAGAAAAACTAATTCTGTACAGTTCTAATGAGCTTGAAGGTCAGTATTTGATATGCTCCCCTTTATTCTTCAACACAGCCTGTTGGACCCACTTCCTGACCTGCATATTGATAATATTTGATTTTAACAATTTCAAATTTGATTTATCACTCCATAAGATGAGTTACTCCTGGTTTTCAGTCCAGTTCTCGTGTAATTTGCCACGCCTCAACCTTTTCTCCCCATTTCCCTTTCTTATAAATGGCTTCTTGAGAGCTAAACTTCCACTGAGACCATTTCTGATGAGTGTTCAGGTCTTTGCTGGATTCCCCCCCCTGCTGGCCATCCAGCTATCCACACATCTTACTCAGGGGTGTGGGTGAGCTGGACCCTACCCCAGCTGTCAAAGGGCGACAGATCACCCATCTATCGTAGGGCTAACAGAAAGAAACACCATGCATGTCTTTGGACTGGGAGGAAAGTTTACCTGGAGAAAACCCATACCAGCATGGGGAGAACATGTAAACTTCACACAGAAAGGCCCCAGCCAACCACTTCACTTTATGACGGCTTTGTCAGTTTTCTTAAGGACACACTGCACAACATGCTGAAATACACCAGATTTTTACCTGATAGCCTTTTGAGATTCCCCTTGTTGAAAATACTATTTTATGTCTATCAAACTGTGTTATCTTTGGCATTCTTCTTAGTTTCAGCTAATGAAATAGAAACAAAATTACCACAGGCTGATAGTAATGGAGTGCCAAAAGATACAATGTATGTAAAACATTGTATACAGTGTAATGTAAATGGTAAATGGACTGATTCTTATATAGCGCTTTTCTACTCTCAAGGAGTACTCAAAGCGCTCTATACAACATGCCTCACCCAATTCACCCAATCACACCCATTCTCACAAGCACTTTATCTACACTTAGTGCTTTCTAACGACATTCATACACATTCATACTCCGATGGATGCATCGGAGAGCAAGTTGGGGTTAGTATCTTACCCAAGCTACAGCCACCCATGTACAGATATAGTGTAGACAAACACTGGTTAGGTTCATTTTTGTGTTTCATTGATTCATAGGTCAGATTTAAGTGACTTATAAAACTAAAAACAATCCTCTGAAAATAGTCAAGTTCAAGAACTCGTCTGAAAATAAGTGAAAAAGCAGCCAATGTCTAAATAAAAACTTTGAAAGACCTACTGCTCAAGACTACTTTAAAAATATCAAGACGGTCTGGCTGCTTGGAAGCAAAATACAAAGAAATGAGGGACGGATTAAGACTTTTACACAACATTATATTTTGAGGTGCTTGGGACATGCACAAGACTCAACACGGTCCCCATTTCTTAAATTATGACCACTAAATGATGGTTTCAAGCTATAACTACAGATAAGTTTGGCAAAGGCATGGCATAGTGTGAAGGAATTTAATAAGTGGGCCCCCAAAGAGTCGCGCCATTATCTGACTCAGTGTGAATTCTAGTTGAAATCATCCCCTTGTCAAACTCGTTTCCTGAGTTCTGGTGTTGAATCACGGAAAAAAAATGTTCTTGCGAAATATGATGATGTCACAGTGACCTGTGAACTGTCAAATCTAAAGTTTAAATGCTTAGCATGCTAAGCTAATTAGCATGCTAAGCTAATTATGCTAATTAGCATGCTAAGATAATTATACGAATTAGCATGCTAAGCTAATTAGCATGGCAATAGTTCAGTACCTGCCAAAAACACATTATGTGATCTTTCTTTTTTTTTTTTAGCTCATCCTTGAGTTGACATTGACAAGATCATCATATTCACAAGAAGGGAAGGGCCATGAGGGTCACGGTGACCATGACCTTTAAGCACAATAATGTATCATATTCATGGTGATGGCTGGCTGGATTTGGGGGTGGGGGGGATGGGGGGGCATTGAGAAAACATAATGCCTTAGGCTACAGCTGTCACCGACATGGAGGCATAAAAATGACTTACGCAGTGGTCCGTTTATATGGGTGGTACAAAAATAAGCCCCCCAACAACAATCAGCGAGCATAAAAACAACAAGCGAGATTTATGTTGCGTGGCTGTTGCATCGATTAGTGACAAGCTGTCCCAATGAGGCGTAAATGCCGCCTCACTGATACATGGCTCACTTAGCATGTCCTTTTGGACAGCAGAAATGTCACCCTCTCCCAGGGTGCTGAGTGCTCCACATTGAACTTGTCACCATCAAATAATCGCTCGCTGTCTATCTGTCTGCCCGAGCCAAACGTGGAAATGACAGACATGCTGCGGAAGGAGAAATATTTGACACTTACGCCGCACCGCAAACAACTC